GCCTTTTTTTCTTCTTGGTTATCTTTTCCTGTTCTGATATTGATTTCTTCCTATGTTTCCACTTCTGGAATTTACAAATATGTCTTAAGAGATATTATTTTATTAATAAATTAAAATATCTTTTCTATTAATAATAAATCCTAAATAATATAAATAAATATAGATATTTTAGATAATAATAGATTAGGCTATTATAAATTATTTAGGTCTTTATTTTGGAATTTTTTTTTATTTAATTTTTTTTTATTTTCTAGGTTAAGATCTATTAATTTATTTTATATTTAATTATAATATATTTTAAAAAATAATTTTTAAAAGATATAAAGGTTTTTTATTTTATTTTTAAAAATTAATAAAATAAGAAAAGATTTAATTAATAATGATAAAAAGATATCTTATAAATGATTTATATTATTTTTTAATTTAATATTAATATTAATCAAAAAATTATCAAAATATAATAAACCTATTCCTTAAAGAAATATAATCATTATTAAATTAATTAATCTAGGATTTCTTAATTTAAAAATAATAATATTAATAATAGATTAAATGATTAAATTAGCTTTATTTATTAAAGAAACTTAAAATCCTTTTATTATATTTAAAAGAATAATTTTAGATTAATAATTAAAAAATAATAAAAAAATGATTAAATATATAAGAGAATCATGATAATTATATAAATATTCTTTATTATTATCTTTTTTATAAATGAAATTAGATCTCCTTATTTATACTTATCTTTTACTATATTTACTAAATAAGATTAGATATATTCATTTATGTTTATTTATGTTATACTTATTAGATAAGACTGGATATCCTTATTTATATTCATCTATGTCATGTGTTATGCATTTCTGCTATCATTGCCCCACTTTGGCAAAGAAAAAGGTTTCCTCTGGGGTCTTATACCCCTGTAGGCCTGTGTGGTTTGTGACACATATAGGTTTTTATAATTTATTAAGATTCCAAATAAATTATGGAATATTATTATATGGGATTTTATTATTAAACTATTTAAATCATAATATCTAATAATTAAAGAGGAATATAATAATATATAAGTTATTATTAATAAATTTATAAAATATAGTTATTTTATATTATTTAAAAAAACTTATATAACTAAAGATTTAACTTTTAAATTTATTAAAAAAATCTTTAATAGATATAGATTATTATGGAAGATTATTTTAGATAGAGATAAGTTCTTTATTTTAAAATTTTAGATTAATTTAATAAAAAAATTAAAGGTTAAATAGAAGTTTTTTATGATAACTTATTTTTAAATTAATGATTAAATGGAACAACTAAATTAGACATTGGAGTAATACCTATGAAATTATATTAATTATAAATAAGATAACTAGGTAAAACTCTTACCATTTATTATATCCTTATATAATATTTTAATAAATGATATTACTGGGATGTTATCATAAGAAACATTATATAAATAATAAATAAATATAGAATATAAATTATTAATAAATAAGGTTACCCCAAAATTAGAAATAATATTATCTTAAATAGAAATGTTTACTATTAGAATTCTAATATTATAAACTAAATTTAAATAATGTTTTAAATTCTTATAAAAATAAATAATAATATATTATAATAAAAAGAGAATTAAGGAACCAATTTTATATAAAAGAGATAAAGTTTATCTTTTATAAGATAAGTAATATTTAATATTAAAGATATTATAGATTTAAATTAAAAAATTAAATAAGAAATTAGATTTTAAAAAGTTGGGATCTTTTTTAATTAAAGAAATCTTTTCAAATATAAATTATTATTTATAGTTATTAATAAATATAAAATTAAGAACCAATATTTAAAAATGTTAAATTTAAAAGAAATGTTAAATTAAAAGAGGATTTAAAAGAATATAATATTAAGGTCATTTAGGATTCTAGGATTATTAATGGTTAGATTAAATACTTTATTAAATAATTTAATTATTTAAAAGAGAATAATATTTGGAAATCATAGGAATACCTTATAAATAAGAGGATTTAGATATTAATTAAGGGTTTTCATTATTAAAACCTAGATTAATCATTAATAAAATATTAAAACTTATATCCCTAAAGGAAAACCTGGTAAAAGGATTAATCAAAGAAGTAATATTAATTTATATCTTTATTTTCTCCTTTTCCATAATTAATCACTCCTATTCCTCTATTTTTTCCAGATTTAAAAAGTTATATTAAACCATTTTTACCTCTTTTTCCTTTAATATTTCCTATAATTACTTAATGTACATAAGACAGATAAAAAGCTCCTTCTGACAATCAAACATTGCTTAAAGCTCCCGCTAGATATCGACCTTTTTTTTAAAGAGGTAAGTATATTTATCCTAAATATAATAAAAAGAATTAAATGGAATATATATCTTATTGTAGGAAATATTAACAAATTTATATTAGAAATATTCTTTCATATCCTCCAACATAATATAATCTAATTTATTATTAAAATAATAATTATAAAACATAATTTCAACATTTAAATCTCTAATAACAAATGTTAATTAATAATGATTCTTGGTTGAAAATGCCTTTTAAGATTTCCAAAAAGATTTTAATATACAATTAACCATAATTGTTAACAAAAATGTAATAAAGAAGAAAAAAAAGATATATTAAGAAAATCCTTAAGATAAGAATTTCAGAAAGAAGGGAATAATATTATAACCTAATAAGAAAAAAGCCAAAAAATAAAGACCTAATAAGGCCAAGATAACCAATTAAAAGAAATTTTTATAAAGGCAATAAAGATTGTATGTTAAGGCTTATATAATGACCTCTAGAGGTTTCTGAGAACATCATAAAGATAAACAAAAAAAAGATCTCTAAAGGTCTTTATCTAGGGAATAGAGACTATTTAAATAAAAAATATATAAAAAAAAAATCTCTTATATATCTAATCATTTTTTTATAGTTTTTTAATTATTAATTTAAGATTATTCTTTTAAGTATAATAAAAAGACTCTAAGCCTTTTTAACGAATAAGAATGTATTTAACCACTTAACCTATTATTGATACTGTTATTTTTAAATTAAGAAACCCCGGATTAGCCAATCTAATAACGACTATACCTCTCCGAGGCATAGGTTCGTCACAAGTAGGTTAAATAATTAATTAGATTTTATTTATTAGAAAGGCTTAGAATCCTCTCATTATACTTAAAAGAATAATCTTAAATTAATAATTAAAGAACTATTGGAAAAAATAATTAAATATATAAGAAATATTTATAATTATATAATTATTCTTCCTTTTTTTTTTAATATCTAAGGTTATTATGATCTGGCTTAATTTAATTAATTTATTCTTTATGGATAGATCTATTAGATTTAATAGATCATATATATCTTATAATTTAGTTATAATTTAATTAATTTAATTAATCTTTAATTATATAATTAAATCCATTAGATTTATAAATCATATATATGTTATGGCTTTTCCGTTACCAGTTCATTATACCCCACCTCTTCCAGGCTTCTAAGATGATCATCCTTTACTGGTTTATGATAGATTCCAAGTCTTTTTAATAAATAAAACTTATTTAGTTACTTAACTTATTATTAATATTATTACTTTTAAATTAAGACACCTTAAATTAATTAATTTAATAATAATTATATCTCTTTAAAACATAGGTTTATCATATATTTAAGGTTATTATAATTTAATTAATTTAATTAATTTATTTTTTATAAATAAATTTATTAAATTTAATAAATTTTATATAACCCATGATTTAAATATAATTTAATTTATTATATCTTATCTCTTTTAAGTTTTTAAAATGATCATCTTTTATTAGTTTATGATAATTAAGTTAATTAAATTAATAAAGGTTTAATTAATAAGATTATATTAATTATAATTATTATGATTCTTTTATGGTTTATTTATAATTAAATAAAAGATGTCGACCTTAATTATAATAAATTCTTTAATTTATGACAGTTATAATAAAATTAATATAATATTAATTATTTAAAAAAAATTAAAAGAAATAATTTTTTTAAAAAACCATATAATAATTAAGTATATTATATGTTTTTATTATATAATTATTATATATATTTATTATCTTTTTTTTTTTTTATTTTATAAAAATAAGAAATCCCTTAATTATAATTTTATCATAATTAATTTATATTCCACTTAATATATAAGGGTTAATCATAAGGTATTAAATTATAATAAGAAAGTTAATTAACAGTTATAAATATATATAAAACCGGATCAATTAATTAATCTGACATTTCGTCTTATCATTAAAATATAAATTTCGTTTTATGGCTCTTCGAAATCCATATGATCCAGGGGGTCAAAGGACAGAAAAAAACGCAGGCACTTTCTAATATTACCAATACCAATGTCAATACCAATGACAATATTTCGATTACAACAAGAAGATACGGTTCCGAGAGTCATGGCGTTATTCTCCAGTAGTTCAAGATCGGAATCTTCTGCTTACCTAAGAAGCATGTATACATACCTAGGTATATAGGGGCAAAGCCCGACAGCCTACAGCGGATTAACACATCAAATATGCTGAAAAATCAAGGCGACTTTTCCAACAAGGCAGACCGACAAAGAATCAATTTCCCCGAAATGCCTTTGTTAGAAGATGCACATTGCTTAAATAATTTCCGAGAGACATATCAAAGTCGAGGAAATACTAAGGTGGCATACTCGCACTTCCGCATGTCCTCCGCAAATCGCCCGCAAGTTTTCCGCAAGATGGCCGCAAACCACCGCAGGCGACCGCATACCGCCCGCTTATCTACCCGTCTCACGTCTGAAATGCATACAATTGGTAAGCTTATTGTTGTTGATCTTCAATTGAAAATTTTCAATTAATAGGTATGTATTTTGCCTCGGGTCGATACTTAAGAGATACCGAAGCACTAGGTAGAAAGGAGGAAAGCTGTGACTTTACCCTTAAGCTTTCCGAGGCCTCATATAGCTCTACCCTGAAGAAACTGCAAGCAATGAGTCACGTTGAACTATTCTTATTTCGTCTATACGTTTAATCCTAAGTTCGACGATAATCACGGCCTAAGACAATATGAGTGTAAAAGAAAAGTCCAACTCGGCCGAAGCCGAAACCGGGACTTCCACCCCGACCAATGGAGATCTCTACGCCAACTCCGAGAAGGAAGAAAGAGGCAGCGACCAGGAGGTAGCTACTGTAGGCGAGTATCCTCACGGTTTGACGCTTTACCTCCTCGCCGGCGCGTCTATAATGAGTGTGTTCCTGATTTCCCTAGACCAAGTAAGTTCTCACCTAAGAACCCAATTCCTATTTTCTCATCGATCTTACCTCTAACATGAGATTATAGACTATCGTAGCAACGGCAATCCCCAAAATCACAGACGAATTCGGCGGTCTACACGATGTATCCTGGTACAGCGCAGCGTATTTCATGACCTTCGGCGGTCTCGAAGCAGCGTGGGGCAAGGCGTTTAAATACTTCAACATCAAATGGACATTCCTCGTCTCAATCCTCATCTTCGAAGTCGGTAGCCTGGTCTGCGGTGTTGCGCCGACTTCCAAGGCTCTGATTGTCGGACGGGTTATCGCGGGTATAGGCGGCGCTGGTATGTGTGTAGGGGGCACGAGTATCGTGGCCTTTAGCGCGGAGCCGAAATTTCGTCCTGTGTTGATGGGATTCATTGGCTTGACTTATGGTCTTGCTTCGGCACTTGGACCGCCGATTGGTGGCGCGTTTACGGAGAGGGTGACTTGGCGATGGTGTTTTTACATCAATTTACCTGTCGGTGGGGTCACTGCTGCTGTGATTCTGCGCTTCTTCCATCTTCCGAGTGCGGCCAAGACACCCGATGTTAGCCTCAGGGAGAAGCTACTACATATCGACCCCATTGGTATCGCATTGGCCATGGGAGCAATTGTATGCTTCATCCTCGGCCTTCAAAACGCAGGCACCACGCAAGCTTGGAATAGCAGCCAAGTCGTGGGTCTTCTCGTCGGATTCGTCGCTATAGCCGTCGCTTTATTCTTCTGGGAGATTTTCGTGGGTGAATACGCCATGTTGCTCCCCAGATTGTTCAAAAAGAGGGCGCTGTGGAGTACAGCCCCCTACCAATTCTTTTTCATGGGCGACTTCAACATGTTGCTTTACTACCTCCCGATATACTTCCAAAGTATCCGCGGCGCAGACCCTATCATGTCTGGTGTCGACAATTTGCCTTTCGTCATCTCGATCGGTATATTCTGCGTCGTCGGTGGTTTGGTCGTCGCTAAGACTGGCCATGCGGCGCCAACGATGTTTATTGGTGCGGCGGTGGCCACGGTCGGATGTGGTCTGCTCTACACTTATGATATTGACACCTCGACTGGTAAATGGATCGGCTACCAGATCCTCACTGGTTCTGCTATGGCTTTCTCCTCGCAGAACGCTCTGAACATCGTTCAAGCCAACGTAGGTTCTGAGGATTTGGCGGCTGTCGTTGCCAATATTTATTGTAAGTGAAAATAACCCCATTGTTTCCGAATTGTGAATTTTAACTAACCGAAATTTCAAATAGTCTTCCAAACAGTCGGAGGTGCTTTCAGTACCTCATCAGCGCAGGCAGCATTTGTAAATCAATTGGTTGCCAAACTCCCCTCTACCGCGCCCACAGTTGATCCACTTCTAGTGATCGCGACGGGCGCCACGAAGTTACGGGAAGTATTTCCTCCCGAGGAGCTTTCTGGAATTCTTCTTGCATATATGCATGGAATCAAAGCGGTTTTCGCCGTTAGTATTGCCATGTCCGGTGTCGCATTCCTGGTAACTGCTCTTATTCCCTGGAGTAGACTTCCTACACATGCGAAAGCACCGGAGGACGTCGTTGTTATGGCTGCGTAGATCGTGCTGGTGTAGAAGTATGAACTAGAGAAGTTTTAATATTTGGGGGGATTTTCAACAGCATTATTTTTTTAAATTATCTTATCTATACATAGAGATATAGATTGCTGCGGATAGAATGTTGAGATGGTCATACTTTTGGGTCTCATTGTTGTCGTATCACCCATAGAAGGCTCATACACTCGACGGGCCAAGCAAAATTGTATTGGCATTTATCATTTCTATAGTCCACATCATTATTAATAATCATTTAAAACACCTCCGCTATACCCAAAGTCCAACGTTGACCATGCCTTTCTAACGCCATTTCTGAACCATAAGATTTTTAAGCCCTCGAAACAAACACCACGCCCAACTCGCGATAATATTCAACATAGATGGAAAATTCCTCGAAGTTTCTACCTTCAACCATGCTTCAATCCCAGCTGCGCATATTGGGGAATTGTGAATCAAACATAAACGAAAGTAAATAGCATAAATCATTCACGCGACCGCCCAGCAGTCATCCATCATCAACCCACCGTCTTCTCCATCGTACTCCCCTTATCAATCCAACACCTCATCTTATCCGGCCCAACGACATAAGACCAATACATAGTAGCAAAATCATCAAACTCCCCCGCTGAATGCTGCGCCATAAGCACCTCAGGTTGAAGCGCAGCAACCAGCAACGGCGTACTATTCGCATAACACAACTCCCCCCACCTCACCGCCGACTCCGTCTCCCAAAGCCCCCTCCGTGCCGTAAACATAGCAGCACCAGGACAATCCGTCCACCCACGCGTCATGATCTGGTATATATTAAACACCGTATCAACAACCAGATGCGTGCGTCGCACACTCTCACTCAAGATCCAAAGATGCCATAACTCGCTCACGGAGTCGTATTCGCGATCTAGTTCACTGATACCCCATTGGAACGGGCGTTGGGGGAGAATAGCATCGCTTTCGGAGAAACGCTTCGCGGCGTCCCACATTTGTGTTAGGAAGCGTCGGAGGATGGGAAGTTGACGCTCGGCGGAGGCGCGCATGCGCACGGAGCCGTCGAAGAGTCGGATGAATTCGTAGATGAATAGGGCTTGCGTGCGCGCTAGATGCGCGCGGATTCCTTTGGTGCCGGTGACTGTAGGTGGAGTTTGGGATGCGAGCGCGAGGGAACGTTCTTCGGCGATTTGAAGGATTGTTCCTTTTACCGCGGGAGTGCGGTTGATGTATGCGGAAAGTGTGGTAAATGCATCTTGAAGACATGTAGGCATGCCATCTTCGTACAAACGCCGGTGAATAAAGCTATTATGACCATCCTTGACCCAGCTTTGCAGCATTTCTTCCACAGCTTGGATAAAAGGTTCCAGTGCGACGGATGTAACAGATCCTGTGTCCTTGAGGTTCTGTTGCATGATCCATGTCTCATCTCGGAGAAACCAAGGACATGATGGGTTTGGCAAGTTGACACTTTCGGGTGTAACGCCCTGAGTCGACGATGTGTTGGTGGTAGAAGATGGCGCTATTGGCATATATGGAACCACCATATCTGACAGAGAAACATCGAGATCACCAGCTCCTATGACACCCCAGTCCCCAAGATCCAATTCGCTACCCAAAGCATCGACGCCAGCATAATTCTGAAGGTTAGGAAGATCTCCAACCTGGCCATCAGACACTGGCGGATCTCTACGTCGTCGCTTAGGCTGCGGATAAACACAATACATGTCTCTGTCCAGACATCGCTGGCACTCAGGAAGTTGCTTATCGCATCTTCGTTTTGAGTCTGCGCAGGCAATACATGCTTTCTGACGGTGGGTTGCGGGCATTCTGCGGAAATTTGATTGAGGAACTTAGAACGGGTTGGGATTGGATTTGGTGGCTCTTTTTTGTCTTTGCTTATTATTTTTCATCTTGCTTATAAATCTGTGATTACTTCTGTTCATGGTACGATTAGCGGTTACACAGTAATATTGATTGGCCGGAATGACTGAAATAAATCACTACAAAGCTGACGTGGTATGCTTTGGGGGCCGCTATAATTGGTCGGTAACGTTCAAAGGCTATGAATACATGTAGTGTACCTGTAGGATTAGTATAAAAGCAATGTACTGGTTGAGATAAAGGGAGCTAATGGTGGAGGGGTTGGTTAAGCAAGGGAAGCCGTCAGCTGTAAGATAGTCCTACCACCTGTCATACGCATGTGTCAATCAAAGCGTACACCGCTTCCTGCTGGAAATCCGTGCGCAAATTCTTGGAGTGAACATATTAGCAGCAGACAAGACGACTTAAAGTATCAATAGTATCGCATATATCAAGTTTATGTATAATTATCATATTTCTTAAATGTGAAGCCCCCTTGATCGGAAGCCTCTTCTAAAGCCGTGGTAAGGTCTCGCTCTGGACCTCTTCGTCGGACATAATACCTAAATCTCGGTTATCACCCGGATCTCGCACGGGCACTGCGATATAACCGTCATCCTTGATATGGACTGTATGAAAATTAGCTGATTTCAGTCTCATCTAATTGTCGAAATAGGATATTATCACTTACGATGCGGTCTAACGAAGAAACTTCCAAGGACAGCCAGTCCAAATAGGGAAGCTAATAGGACGAAAAACGCTTGAGGAAATGTCTCTACCGTGAGGGCGTACAGTCCATTAAAAAGGGCAGGAGCAATAACTCGTCCAAGTGCGTGCAGCAGGCCGATGGCCCCCAGTAGGGATCCCACACGCTGAGCCGGAACATGTTTCGTGATGGCGCTTTGGATGGTCGCACCAGCCAAGCCACCGAAAGCTGTTCCCAGACCACACAGTACGAATAGCTGTTCTTGACGGACGAAGATGTAACCAACTGTACCCGCGGCATCACTGAGGAGCGCAATCCGCAGCAGCCACACATCTAGGTTATCGGCGCCGGAGTTCGTCTCAACCACGTTCGTGTCACCACTTTCACGTCTTTGACGCCGTAACGGCCGTACACGGAAGATGTAATTGATGACGGGTAGAATGCAGAGGAGAATAACAACACGTACCATACTAACGATCGATACAAACCTAGAGGCTTCAAGGGTTCCCCATTTGAATATGTACTCGGAATATAGCACAATGACGGTACCCGCGCCCATTGCCGAAGATAATATCATCGTATCGATAAGGGCAAGGAGGATTAGGTTCCGTCGCAAGGGGCCATTGTTTCTCCCACTTGGGATGAGTATTTTAAGAGGCGCCAGTGGATTCGCGCTTAGAACTACTGGTAACCAAGTTCCCATATGATCATCCAGGAATGAAGCGACCCGCGGTCCGACAAAGTTCTCGACTGAACCGGGAAGTCCTGATCTCAGCTGCACGGCCGTGGCTTCGTTTTCTTCTCGGTGCTTTTCGCGTGCCGCCATTTGACGTTTCTTAGATATCGATTCCGGCAAACAGAACCAAAAGAACAGGATAACGACGGCGTGGCAGCCAAGAACCACGTAGAATATCGATACCAACGATCCAGTCCATTTGACGAAGTATCCGGCAAGAAGAGGACCAAAAGCTAACCCAGTAAACAGACATGCGTGAAGATAGCCGATATGTACGCCACGTTTAGACGGAGGAGCGCAGTCACTCGTATACGAGTTACCCAGTATACTGCCCGCTGTGAAGGAGCCAGTAATGCCATCAAAGAGAGCACCCAGGATTAACCAGTGGTAGTTCACTGTTTCGGGGTATTTCGCGGCTAGTATGGTGATGAATTCATTAACCAGACCACCACATGATGATATCACCATGAGGCGTTTTCGACCATATCGATCAGACATTGCTCCTAGCTTTGGTGCCGTGAAAGCACTCAGAGCCCCGGTGAGTGCGCTTATAACTAGAGTAAAGGTCGCAACACTCTTCTGAACTGCAGGTATATCGTTACATTGAGGATTGTCGGCGCCCATGATTATTGGCGCATATTTGAAATTCGGATCAATCAACTGGCGTTCGCTGAAATAATTGCGACACACTAAGTCGACAATTCTAACAAGTCACCATTGTAAGCAAGTTTTCCTTCATGAAGGGGTTAATGCTGTTACGCGACTTACAAGTTGAGCTTTGGCACAATGATGCCGCCAAATGCAAGTGTGAACAGGAAATATGGCCCAAGAAGCCAATAAACCTGATCGCGGTAGTTAGATTCAACTTCTCTCGGCTCTATTCGCGCACGACTTACCGAGGGTCTCCGATACCACGGGGAATCAACAAAATCTTCGTAACCTATCCAACTTTCCTGTCTCTTTCTATTATCACCACTTTCTGATCCATCATCTGAACTACCTGTGCCGACCAGCGGACTTGTTTCGGTTGCTTCCTCGCGTCCATCTTCCTCGTCTATCATCACTATCTGCTGGCTATCCTTCTTGGTAGGTTGGGCCGCGCTCGTCATTTTGACTATTTAGTATGTGTTTTGCACAATCTCCGGAATAATTCAGTCAATTACGTTGAGCACCGCTTGTTGCGAGTGCGTAAACTGAAGGTAACGGATGCGCGCATACGCTCGAGTGGTGTGACTTAGTATTGGCCGACGATGCCGGAGGTTCGTGATATGACTCGGGTTCTCGGCATGAAGTCGTCGTATGGGGTATATAGTAATGGTTAATTGGCCAATTGTAAATAATGGTCCTTAGTCTAATCTTTTATCTGTTCCGACGGACTTGGAGTTTGTTTTCTATCTTGATAATCTGTTGAGTAGAAGAAAAATGAAATGGTTGCGAGAGAGTGTGGATGTATACTTGATGCTTCGAAAGTCTAATTATATGTAATCTAGAATGTCATTGGTCCAACTAAATGAATGATGTGTGTAATGAAGAATCCAATTAAAGCCTAACTCTGTCGAAGATTCGAAAGTTCCAACGTCCGGAAAGTGCCAGCGCTAGACGTTGGGGAAATGGGAATGATGCGAAAGTTACGACGAGAATGAACGAGTTAGGTAGGCGCAGGTCGGCGCAGGTAGGGTACGAAAGATAAGCTAGTTCTATCATCGAATCCCACATCGTCGGGATCCTGTGGGTCCGGGTTAGTCCATCTGTCCATGTCATCAACGTGGGATCAATACAATGGCTATATACATGATATCCATGATTATGGCTGTGCGCTGTACTCTTTTTCATCTACCTAAGTATTATTATTCCACTCAACAACCTAGTAAAAATATTAAGTCGTCTTACGCGAGAAAACAGCTTGTTAATTCTATACAAGTATCTAAGTACCTAAGTATCTACATGCATAAAATATGCTGTGTTTCAGGCACTAGCCAAGTAGAGTAATGTTTTGGGTTTGTAAGCCCATCAAGGTGCGCCAGTGTACACTATCGGAAGTGGGCACCCGTGGTGCAATACGCACATAAGGTTGGGGATCCTGGGTCTGATCATATCGTTGTTCCTGGTAAAAATGCATGGGGTACAGTAGATACGATTTATAATGGGCTAATCTATCTCCGTGCTTTTTGCCACGGATCCGCAAACCCTTAAATTGTGATTCAAAAAAGCAATTGCTGCTAGTTTCGATGTACCTAGATATGGGAGATACAGACAAATTGAAATCAGAGGGATAAAAAGTAATTGTATCTGATACAAACTAGATAAAGGGAGATGCATTGAAGTGTTGCGACGCCTGAACTTGGCAGAGGGCGACGATAGGTTTAGCTGATTGATGTCATGGCCAGCACATCGATGACGCATCATCTTTTATGGGGGTACTTGGTACATTTGTAGGGATTCGGCAGCTCGTTAAGGTCCGACCACTGTGCTTATAGCATCCTCCTATATCACAATTAGTCAGCTTAGGTACTTATGAGGATTCAGTGAACTTGCTATAGATACACAAGTGGGATGTAAGATCATTAAGTTCTAGGGATAACGTGGCCATCCAAAGCATTTATCGGTAAGTCGTACATATCATGAAAACAAGATTCCTGCAAAAGCAGAGAATGTAGTAGTCTACCCAAATAATGTACATACAAAACGCCCACGCAAAATGTCGATGTTTTTTTTGAAGCCATAATGAGTACACGCTCGTTTGCATCCTCAAATATGTACACTCGTTTTCGAGTAAAGGGGGTATATACATCTTACACCGCGAATGCATTTTCCTGTCCGGCGAAGAACTTCTTCGACTCGGCACATCGTTCACTCTTGCAGCCAGGACACCTAAGACCCATCTGATAAGAGCATGCTATGCCACTATCCAAGTGACTCTTTGCGAGGTTTGCAAGCGCATCAATGAAGATGGGGTTGCCGTTTAGACTTTCTACCCGCTTCACAGTATCCTCGTGGCCGGATTCTCCAATTACCTCTTTGTCGAGTTCAAATAACGTCTCGATGTGATCAGATGTAAATGCGATAGGAATTAGAACGAGATCTTTTTGTCCCTTTGCGATGTACTCCTCAACTGAGCTTTGAGTCTGGGGTCCAAGCCAGGGCTGAGGTCCGACTTGCGATTGCCAACATAATCTATATGGATTGGCGAATTTTAGTCGTTGCATTACAGCATATACTGTAGCGGCAACTTCAGCAGGATATGGGTCACCTAAATCAATGTCAATGAGAAGCGCCTTGGATATAACACTCGCAGTTCTTACCTCTATTAACCACGGTCATGGGCAAACTGTGGGCTGAGAATAATAATACGACTCGGCTACGTCGGTCCTCCGGATATTGTTCTAGAGTTTTCTCGATGTTGCTGGCAAAGGCTTCTACTAAGCCTGGATGAACCGGCCACCTATCAATGACGCTCCATTGAATTGCACCAGGCCCATCTTTACCTTCTAATCGTTGCCGCCACTTCCACAGCTCGTTAAGACTGCTTCCTGTCGTAGAGCAAGAGTATTGAGGATACTGTGTAAACGCCACTGCTCTTCCTCCCTTACCCTTCCCAAACCCGTCCGCAAGTAGTCTATTGTACATTTCTTCGGTTAAAGGGTTCGCATAACGGAAGGCGACGTATGGTTTATGTGGCGCTGTCTCCGGCGATATTCGGTCGAGAATCTTGCACATCTCTTCGTTCTGGTATTCCGACCATTTTCGAATAGGTGATCCGCCGCCGATCTCTGCATATTGTTTTTGAATCTTCGGGGTTCTTCGGCTCGAGATAAGGGGTCCGAGGTAATTCTGTAGTCGACCTAATGGGATCAAATCGGCATCTGCCTATTTACAATTAGAATCGCGTATGAAAACGGAATCATGCATTGAAGGAACATACAAACAGACGACTTAGGAAATCGCCAACTTCGTCCACTGTTGAAGGACCACCCATATTCAGGAATACCATTGCTGTCGGTCCCTTCGATCCGGCTGCATTTTGGGTGACAGGCGGTACAGGTGTTGCGAAAGACCTCGTTTGTGGCGCATTGGTCTTTGAAAATCGGAGACTTAATGACGAAGGAGAGCTGACAGTCGCAGAACCAGCTGCTGCTCTGCGCGAGAGGTGCGCGACAGAATGCCACGTCGTCATATCGCACAAATTCAGTCTCTCCAATACAATTAGATAAAATGGTCAAAATGAAGTATGAGCCAACAAGTTGAAAAGGGATATCTTCGACAAATCAATGAATTCCGCCTATGAAAAAGTCAAAAAGTTAGCCGTGAATTAATTGAAATAAGCTCAGACTCGGCATCCGAGAGTCCGGGTCCGATCAGCTTCTGTGAGATTGGCCAATGAAATCTGTTCAATTTCCTAGCAGTTCCAGAATTAGGTAGAGATCACCTGACGTGGCGATTATTTCAGCAAACCACTTTACATCATACGCGGTCAATCGCGGTAGCTGCCTAAGAAGGTACCCATGTATTTAAGCTCCACGGTAGTAGCTATGCACCCAGGAGTTGAATTGGAAAGAGACCATTTGTGAAAATTTAACTCAGCATACAATTTCTTTTTTTTCCTTTCTCAGTGCATTAGGCACATACATATTCCCCCTCTACCTACGACAGTCACAATAAAATCCATAATGGCCGACCATTACGAGAAGCGAGAGGAGGAAGATGATGAAGATGAGATTGGTGAACAGGTATTTTTCTACGCCTCGGGTTGTGAAAATACACTCATTAAATACCATTCAGGATTACAAAGCACAAAAAGATGCTCTCATTTTTGCCATCGACGTTAGCGAGTCGATGCTTCGGCCGCCTCCTGAATCAAATGACAAGAAAGCAGACAAAGACCCACCTGTATATGCAGCTCTCAAATGCGCATATCAAGTGATGCAGCAACGGATCATATCGAATCCCAAGGATATGATGGGTATAATACTTTTCGGCACTGAAAAGACAAAATACCGAGATGATCAGAATCTTCCATATGCGCATTGCTATGTCTACACCGACCTAGACATCCCCGCTGCTGAAGACGTGAAGAACTTAAAGGACCTTGTTGAAGAAGGGGAGGACGCAGATGAAGTCCTTGTACCAGCGAGCGAGGATGCCCAAATGTCGCATTTGCTTTTCCTAGCAAATAATCTTCTCACTACTAAAGCGCCGAACTTCGGGTCTCGAAGACTGTTCATTATCACGGACAATGATAACCCACATAAGGGTAGCAAGCAAATTAAAGAAACCGCAGCATGTCGTGCCAAGGACTTGTACGACCTAGGTGTGACTATCGAGCTCTTCGCGATCACTCGTGGTGATGAGAAGTTTGACTTTAGTAAATTTTACAATGTAGGTTTCAACTAGTGTTTAGTATTTTGGTTTCCTCACTGACAGAGCCCAGGACATCATTTATCGGGATCCAGTTGTTGAGGAAGCACACCCAGGAAAAGTCTCGACATCCAAGTCTGGCAATGGTTTGACTCTTCTCAATTCGCTTATATCCAACATCAACTCGAGGCAAACTCCAAAACGAGCATATTTCAGCAATATGCCACTTGAGCTTGGCCCTGGACTACAAATTTCCGTTAAGGGATACAATATCATTCAAAAGCAAGTCCCAGCTCGTAGCTGTTACGTCTGGTTAGACGGCGAGAAGGCCCAGATTGCTTCGGGCGAAACTGCTCATATTGCCGAAGATAGCGCCAGAACAGTACAGACGGGTGAGGTGAAGAAAGCTTATAAATTTGGCGGCGAATACGTTTATTTCAGCGAGGATGAGCAAAAGTCAATCAGACAATTCGGAAATCCGATAATCCGAATAATCGGCTTCAAAGATAGGTCAAAGCTAGGGTTTTGGGCCTCCATTAAGAAGTCCATCTTCATTTTCCCCAGTGAAGATGGTTATATCGGATCATCACGTGTCTTCACTGCATTGTGGCGAAAACTTCTAGACTCCAAGAAAATTGGTATCGCATGGCACATCGCTAGAACGAACGGCAATCCGCAGTTGGTTGCCATTATACCCTCCAAGGCGCAGTCAGACCAGAAGTCGGGAATGGATTTTATACCAGCTGGTTTATGGCTATATCCGATTCCATACGCCGACGATGTACGCGAGGGTCCTGCAGATGTGAAATTAATTCGAACCACGGACGCGTTAACGGATATGATGAACAAGATCATTGGCAATTTGCAATTACCAAAAGCCACTTACAACCCCGCCAAATATCCGAACCCCGCGCTCCAATGGCATTATAAAATTCTTCAAGCCCTCGCACTGGAGGAAGAAGTACCTGAGAAGCCAAACGACGCAACTGTGCCGAAATATAAAGCCATTCACACTAGGTGTGGTGAATACATCCAGGGATGGTCCCGTATTGCGGATGATGTCTTGGGCTTGATAAAGGATGCCAAGGCTCTCAAGCGGGAAATGGAATCTGACGATGATGAAGCGCCTAAACCAGCAAAGAAACCGAGGACGACGGCAACAAAAGCTTCTGGTAGTACGGGGTTGAGCAATGTCGAGCTGAAGAAGAAATACAATGATGGCACCCTATCAAAATTGACGGTAGCTGACTTGAAGCCAATCCTCAACGACCGCGGGATTGACTCCAAAGGATTGAAGAAGACACTCGTCGAGAGACTAGAGGAGTGGGTTATCGACAATGTGTGAGGAATTTCAGATGGCTGGGAATATCTATCGGTTAAGGCTAGAGCACTTGTAAATCAGCTTTCGGCGTTGTGGATGGCTCAGTGATATGCTCTTCAACTAGGGACGATGTACCCATAGTGTATAAAATCATTCTCATTCACATTGGTATCTGTGAGGCTATTCTATAAAAAACATGTAATCGAAAGAGATGAACGTGTCTGAATTTGATGGTTGAAAATATAAGGTACCGAGGTACTTATGCCAATCTAATCTGACTAACCCCGCCTTAAAAGCGACTAACCTAGTCTGGTTAGTGACTTAGTGAGCGTTTGTTCAGCGCTTCGGGCCTTATGTACTTTTAGCCCCGGAGCAACGACTCGGATTTATTCCCAACCTGCAAACGCGTCTAAATACTATCCACTCCACCTTTGCAGCTACATTTCCGTCCCGTCGCATCACATGCGCGGTACAAACGGCGACCCTCGGGGGCCGTAGAACTTACCAGTTCTAATGATCCTTGAGTCGTCGTCGTAATGGATCTCCTTCTAGATACCTCGAGAGGGAATATTGTCTGTAACTCCGTCCAAGAAGTCCAGGACAAACTACATCATAGTCTCGCCTCGAAGCTATCTGACACGCGAGCCGAACATGCCTCATTGACATTCGAGCTCCGCCATAATACGATATTCCATTTGAGCGCCGATGCCGAGAGCAACTCAAACGATGGCACCGTCAATCCTGGGAACCCTGTGCATCAATATGCCATCGCGCGATCCGTAAATGTCCTCGAAACAGTACAGAATCAACCTCCCGATGACCCCGTCCTTCAGCGAACCGTCGCAAAGCATATAGTCGGCGCAATAGGAGTAATCGATAGTAGTTCATGGATTGCCCGAGAGGTTTCCAGGAATGCACAAGGCTGGACGTTTACATACATTTGTAAAGATTCGTTGCTAGCATGGAATCGCGCGAATGCAAAAAATACCGAAAGACCTGTAATTGGCAGCCATAGCGGGCCGGGAAGCCTTGATCCGACCAATTCCTGTAAGAATGACATGTCACTTTCATTAAAACAAGGATTCTAACACTATAATAGCCCGTCCCGCCTTCGATTGTCGAGGAACTCTCTCCGTCGCCTTCTCCAAATCCGCCAGAGGCGTCATCGTCAAGTACAGCCACACACCTATCCATAAGACCGTTCAACAATTAATGGACCTTCTCGCACCTCCTCCACAGCCCGCACCCGTTAATAAGAACAATGGAAATAGTCGGAGAACTTCTAAGGTCAGGCGACCTCCGCCGACGGAAGGTGAGGAGGGACCTCGTAGAAAGCGCCCAAAGAAGAAGCGAAAGGCGCCGGAAGCACCGATGGGAGAGCCAGCGATTGGGGATGGTCAAAATACTGCGACCAATACCGAATCGCAGAGTGTTGAGCCTCAGGGCACCAATCCGAGCGATCCCCGTATGATGCCGGTTTTGAACGTCCATCCCGAGGAGGCCGAACGACGAAGACAATTGGCACTAGATCTCCTTAATGCCAGAGGCATTGACCCCACTACACTATCTGCTGAACAATTTAGTATCTTTTCCAACCAGGCGCCGGATCTTCAGGCTACTTCCCTGGAGATGTTGGCGAGATATGGTGCGGAAAGATTGAGAATTGTTCATCCGAGCGACGAGGGCCGCTCTTCAACAAATTCGACTCCAGCCCAGGAGCAATCCGCCAACGTAACTTCCGCAGGCGGTTCTGCGTCAGTACCCACCTCGGGAACAACCGAGACACCGACCAAGAAGAAGCGTACAAGAGGAAAGGCTTTGAAGAACCAAAAAAACGAAGTTCCTATCGCTGATGGTGCAGTCCTGCCGGTAGAACAGAGCGGTGAGGTTGGGACTACGAGTTCTACCCTAAAGCCATCGGGAAGGAAGACGCGTGGTAGTTGCAAGACCTGCAAGGACAGAAAGGTCAAAGTAAGTAACTGGATAGCATGTTTCCTTAGTGATATCTCTTTGCTAACAGGGGACAGTGTACGAAGCAGCACCCGACATGCTCGGTCTGTAAAGATGCTGGCTTAGAATGCGTCTATCTACTAGCAAAACCACGCCCAAAGTCGGAGAAGCCCGCTACTAAAGCAGCAGAAGTTGAGGATTCTGATGTACCCGGAGAAATGGAGCAATTCCAAGCGTTAAATCAAGTACAACAAGAAACAGCATTAGTGTCACCAGCTCCACGCTCTCCAAGCCCTCAAGTCCAAATGCTAATGCAGCACTCGGCACCAACTATCGTTCCACCACCTCTAGATCCTGACAATGAGGAATTTATTCCGGATCCTAACATTTTGTCGGGCCCTACTGAGCATAGTCACACCACAACAAACCCTCCGCCATCTCAGTACTACCAAGATAGTCACACTGGCCTCACATTCCCGCAAAATCCTCAAATGTCATCTGGACATACCACTATGCCAACCTTGACATTCCCCGAATCTCAAACGCGTGAGACTCGATCTCCGACCTCACCTAATATGACATTTTCATCAACGGCTCATCATAATGAACACCAGTCGGGGTTAGGCTATACCCAACCAGTCGTGGCAACACATCAGAAGAAGCCGAGCACATCGACCTCCGGCCGTCGCAGTCTTCCAACAGCTAGTCAAAATAGACCAACACCAGTACCAGCACCAGTTATTCCGCAACATGCATCTAACTGGAATGCCTCACACACGACAGTACACACTGCGTCGACATCACCAACATTGACTAAGCAGCAAGAACCCAAACGGTCGAGATCGCGTAAATCAGGAGTGGAGGCAAGCCAACAAGCACACGATAGCTTAAATCAAGTTATGGCAATACCACAAGCCGTAGTGCAACAACAAAGTCAGCCCTCATCTGCAACAAGTTCACCATATCAGGCTGCGGCTCAGCCAAAGTCCCGACAAGGCCATAGATCACGAACAAATACACCCGTCGCGTACACCTCACGCCCCCTGCCTCAGGCTCCGCAAGCCGCAGTCAATCCGCCGTACAACACAACACCATCAACCTCAATTCCGAACTATGACTCTTATTCGCGTTATGACAACTCGACCCAGGCCCAGGCCCAATATGATGGCATGAGTAATGAGCAGAGCTCATCTCGCATCACATACAAGCCTGGCGCGTATCGACCAAACCCGGTCACCACAACGTCGACTTCGTACTCATCAGCCCCAGCATATGACCATGCTCGCACTACGACACCATCAAACCCGCTTTTGCAGGCCTTCAGCCCGTCCGTCGGATACAATTCTCATAGTGCTACCGGCACCCAATGGCCAACTTCACAGACCAGAGGAAACCAGCAGAACGCCCAGGCACATACAAATACCGCACGTCCTACGGCGTCAACAACGACCTCAACGACCCATAGTTATGGAACCAGGGAAGCTGAGCCACAGGCTCAACGTCAAGCCCCATCTTATAATCAGCCCCAATCCCAGCCCCAGTCCTACGGTTCTTACTCTAGTACACAACAGGCAAACACCAATCAGCAGCAAACGCAGCAGAATTGGTACGGCTTCCAAAACCCCAATACCAATAACAACGGTAGCAACACAAACCAAAGCAGCTACCATAGTACCCGAAGCGGTAAATACAGCGGTACTGGAAGCTCTAGTCAGCCTGCGTATAATAATCACGGATCCAATGTACCCAACTACTCGGGACACGGATATGGCTCCGGCGCGGACGATCAGGCCTTGTACGACATACTAAGGGCTAGTGGTCCTACGCATTAAGATGTGCATAGTAGCACATACTGTCCGCTGGGCACTATACCGCCTACTAAGAAATGTAGAACGCGGAAACAACATGGAAGGAACGAAAATGATGGTAGAGAGGGGGTAAATACACCCTACACGTGTACGAATGAAACAGCACATTCAGTTGGCTGGATAGGAATAAGGCTATTATGGAATTGCTATGGTGTTAGGTCACGATACCAAAAGTATCTTTAAGTGAGTTTTTGGTTGTGAAGTTTTTTCAGGTGTGTAGGTACATATGGCTAAAGATTCCCAATGATACCATTTTTGCTTTTATTACAGAGCATTAGGCTACTTGCAGGACAGGAGAGCAGATTCGGCTCAGGCATTAGCAATGAGGCAAAATAATAAATATTCTGTACATGTTCGACTTGGCATATCACTGTCTCATTTGCATGTTGTGTTTACGCAGGTTGAATATTAAGAGCTGTATACTAAATACGTCTAAGTCAGTATGTACTCTACCACACACCCTTTATTTACGGAGCTAAATTCATCGCCTTCCTCCTTCGTACTTAGGTATTTACCGCGATTTCATATCCGCTCATGCACGAGCCGTCCCCTCACCCAGACTTTCCTCACATTACGATCATCTCCATTGAACACCCACTTTGCCACACGCTCCTCCCACTTCTCCCAACCGAAGATATCCACGTTTCCCCTATCGAGGGTATCGTCTTCTTCGGGTGTCTCGTCGACTAGCCCTAGGCCGATAAGCTGCGCGTCCCACTCCATGCCGACCTCAAAACCACCGATTCGGTCCACGAGTCCAACGATCGAAGCCCCGCCGCGTGTCGCTAAATGCAGAACTTCTTCAACGCTTAGTCTAGCGCGCTCGGTCCCTTTTGCTTTTTGTATAGTCTTGTTTCCGTTAGTTTCGTTGTACTCGTTGCCCTTCTTCGGCATGACCAAGTGATTTGAGACCAAGGCTGCCTGCCGCGCCGCCTCGAGTACGCTGCTGCTATATCCGCCGCTGACGTCCGTGCCAAGGCCCACGCCAATACCCTTATCAAGCAGCCATCTGACACGTGCTTCACCGCTCGTTAGGGCGGAATTACTACACGGACAATGGGATACTCCGGCGCCACGTTTCGCAATAAGATCCGCTTCTTCATCCGAAAGATGGATGGCGTGCGCTAAGATTGTTTTGGTACCTAGTAACCCATGGGCATCGTACACACCGGTATAATGGGGAAATTCAGGAAAAGTATCTTTTACCAACTTCAATTCGTCGACGTTCTCTGAAATGTGGGTTTGAATAGGTATTCCCGTCTTCTCGTGTAGTTTACCAAGGCTTGTCATAGCTTTGCGGGAGCAGGATGGCGCGAAGCGGGGTGTCAATATTGGACTCACGAGGGTATATCCCGGATCGATTTTGTGGATGTGGTCGATAGTTTGTTGTGTCGCGATGAGAGACTGTGCGGCGGACTCATCGAGGTAGTAGTCTGGACCCATGGCGTCCATACATACACGGCCTATGAATGCGCGTTGGCCCATAGATAGGCATAGGTCGGCAAGAAGATTGGTGGATGGAACATGGATGGTAGCGTAGTAAGTGGCTGTAGTGGTTCCGTGGGCCAAGGCTCGTCGGACGCATCGTGTGTATACTCTACGAGCTTTTGGGAGGGAGGATAGAGAAGCTTCCATGGGGAATGTGTAGGTGTTGAGCCAATCTAGTAGTGTTGACTTGCCAAAAATGCCTACATTTGGGTATTGTGGTGCATGAATATGAGTATCTAGTTCTGATTAGCTAATACATAGGGGAAGGCGCTTTGGTTGGAAGATAATGAATGTACTTACCAATAAAACCCGGGAAGAAGAATTGGCCATCTTTCGTAGTAGTAACAACGACGTCATCAGCTTTCCAGCCTAACTTAGGATATATCGTGTCCTCGGCCTTCTTTTGGTCGCACTTTTGTTCAACAGCAACGATCTTGCCCGACTTTTCCACGCAGATGGCGGTATTGTGAAGATACTGGAGTTCACCCAGGCTAGTGCTGTGTATGAATAAGCCCAGGAATAACTGGTTCTTGTTGCCTTGAGGTGCCATATCGATTCCTCCTTCTCGGTTGCTCACTTAAATTTCTTGTCTGTCCAACTCTCCCCCCTTGGACCCTGATATAAGTTCTGAGTTCAGGGTTCGGATCTTTCCATAAAACCCACAGAAACAGGCCACTCGCTAAATTTCTTGGATTCCACGTTGTGATATGGAATGGTGTCGTGAGATGTGACCTGTACCGTGATACCAGGTTGACCCAGCCCAATGTCACTTATTACTCCTTCAACCACACCGGCTTTGGTCCGCGTTTGACCCGGCCGTACAACGAGGTTTCCTCGGAAGCGACTGGGATCTTGGCGTGAATAAATGACTCTTATTCTGGGCTTTTTGATGGGAAGCGCGCCAAAGATGATGTAACTGAATCCGAGGAAGATTTTGCCATCCACGGGGAATCTTTGGAGAAGGATGACTGAAGAAGGCAATTATATGAGAAATAAATGAAGGCTTAGAAATAGTGAAGGAGCCATTTACCTAGGTACGTACGCTAGATTAACTCTCGAGTGATGCTAGATAAGGTACATAGGTAGTATAAGGCAGGCGCGAGGTATCTGTACCTTCCTTGGTACATGTATCCACTTCCAGATTAGGTGAGATGGCGTTCCTGCATTTACTAGGGCCTACCCTGTTCACCTAAGTATGACGGGTCGCGACGTAAAGGTAAGAGCAACGTGCGTACTATTTAACGGAAGTGTCCACCGGCGTACAGCGTCCTTTAGTGACGCCCGATACAAACCGGTCAGCGCCGGTACCCGGATACAGGGGGTTCTCATTGGCGCCAACTACGCCGCAAACCCCCACTGAGGATTAAGTTATCATCCATTATCCATAAGTACCATCGTAGGTACCTATCCGATTACTCGTTAAGCATTAATAACGAGATGATGTTTATTTAAAATTTCTTAAATTATTATGTTTTTTTTTTCATTTATTTTTAAAAATTTTTTAATAAAAAATAAAAAATAATTATTTTATTAATTATAATTATTAATTTTTATTAAATATATTATTATAAAAAATAAATTATTTTTTTAAATTAATTATTTATAATTATTAATATTTAATTAATATATATATTAATAAAATAAATAATTAATTAATTAATAATATTTATAATTTTATTAAATTAATTTTTATTATAATTAAGATTATAATATTATAACGAACTTATGTTTCGGGAAAGTATAATCATTGTTAAATTAATTAATTTAAAATATTTTAATTTAAAAGTAATAATATTAATAATAAGTTAAATAATTAAATATAATTTATTTATTAAAAAAGTTTAAAATTTTCTTATTATATTTAAAAGAATAATTTTAAATTAATAATTAAAGAATTATAAAAAAAAATAATTAAATATATAAGAGATTTTTAATAATTTATATAAATATTTTTTATTCTTTTATATTAAATATATTAAATATGTTTTTTATATTAAAAATGTTATTAATTAACATATTAAAGTATTTAAAATTGTTATTATAAATTAACTTATAAGGGACTTTTATTAAAAACATAAAAACGAAACATTAATAACTTATTACGATTAAGTTTTAAATTAATATATTAAGATTTAATATATTATAATATATTATAATAACCTTAAATAAAAAAAGAAAAAAAATATTTATATAATTTATGATGAACTTATGCCTCGGAGAGGTATAATCGCTGCTGGATTGGCTAATCTAAGGTGTTTTAATTTAAAGGTAATAATATTAATAATAAGTTAAATAGTTAAATATATTCTGTTTATTAAAGAGGTTTAGAATCCTTTTATTATATTTAAAAAAATAATTTTAAATTAATAATTAAACAATTATAAAAAAATGATTAAATATATAAGAGATTTCTTTTTTATATATTTTTTATTTAAGTGGTCTTTATTTCTTAGATAGAGATTTTCAGAGATCTCTTTTCTGTTTATCTCTATGATGTTCTTAGAAACCTCCTTTTTATTTATCTTTATAATATTCTTAAAGATCTTTAAAGGTTATTATATAAACTTTAATATATAATCTTTGTTACTTTCATAAAGACCTCCTTTAATTAGTTACCTTAGCCCCACCAGATCCTTATTTTTTAGCTTTCCTTTTATTAGATTATAATATCATTCCCTTCCTTTTAAAATTCTTGTCTTAAAGATTTTCTTAATATACCTTTTCTTCCCCTTTCATTACATTCCTATTAATAATTATGGTTAATTACATATTAAAACCTTTTTAAAAACCTTAAAAGGTATTTTCAATTAAAAATTATTATTAATTAACATTTATTATTAAAGATTTAAGTATTAAGATTATATCTTATAATTATTATTTTAATAATAAATTAAATTATATTATATTAAAGAATATAAAAGGATATTTTTAATATAAATTTATTAATATTTCCTGTAATGGAATATATATTTCATTTAACTCCTTTTATTACATTTAAGATGATGTGACAAACCTATGCCTTAGAAAGGTATAGTCGTTACTGGATTGGCTAATCCAAGGTTTTCTTAATTTAAAGATAATAATATTAATAATAAGTTAAGTAGTTAAGTATATTCTGTTCGTTAAAAAGACTTAAAATCCTTTCATTATACTTAAAAGAATAGTCTTAAATTAATAATTAAAAAACTATAAAAGAATAATTAAATATATAAAAAAATATAATAATTATATAAATATTCTTTATTATTACCTTTTTTATAAATAAGATTAAATACCTTTATTTATATTCATCCTTATCACATTCCTTAAATAAAACCAGATATATTTATTTATATTCATCCATATCATATTCATTAAATAAAACTAGATATCCTCATCCATATTTATCTATGTCACATATCATGCACTCCTACTATCATTACCCCATTTTAACAAGGAAAAAGATTTCCTTTAAGATTCTACATCCCTGTAAGCCTATATGGTTTATAATATTATTTTTCCCCTCCTTAATTCTTTTATCCTTAAAGATTCTTTTTCTTAATAGGTCCTTTTAATTTAATCCCCACCATATTTACTAATCTATCTGTAAAATATAAATATATTAATTAAGAATAAAAGCATATAAAGTTTTTAAAATAAATTGACAGAATTGATTTTAATATGGATATTATACCTTATTTATATTATTTTAATCATAATCTTAAATATATAATAATAATTAGGATATCTAAGAAATATAATGAATATGTTCTACATCACCGTTAATATGATGGGACAGGCATCCCCATCGATTCTTTCTCCCGGCTCGAGAATGAGGAAGAACGGTTGTCTCTTCAAAAACATCAGATTAAAAAGGCCTTTAAGCATCTTCATACCAAAATAGCCAAGGCCTTAGCTCATATCAAACAACTTAGGCAATAAAAAGAACTATTAAAAAAAAAGGCCTAAAGATATTTTAATATAGTCTTTAAAGTTTAAAAAAGCTAAAAGAACAAGAATAATTAAAAAAGAAATAACGTCTAACAAGGGAACAATAATATAACACCAAAATACAAACTAATACAACCTCCATAATCAACCCTTTCTTTAATTTTTCTTTTAAAAATATAAACTTTAATTTGTTATTAATAATTAATCTAGGTTCTAATAATAGAAATCCTTAATTAACTTTTAAACCTTCTTATTTATTGTTGGTAGGTACGTACGTAAGTGAAGCAAAGTAAAAGTAAGGAAAAGAACAAAAATAGTAGGGGTGAGACGATGTGTATTAAGTTGTCTAAGGAAGAAAGGTCTATCCACATGAGTAGGCAAGCAAGGTAACCTACTTAAATGCAGAGATGCTGACTAAGTAGGTCACGTGTTCTTCATTATGCAACCATCATTTATAAAATGTTCTTATAATTTCTAAATATTTGTTACATTCCAAGCTGTGGGGTAACATATATAATATAGAATTGGAGAACAGTAATCAATTGGTTACTGGGAAACTTTTACTTTATGGCTTAATTAATTATCCCTAAACTAGTTCATGACATAATGACTAATTTCACCTGTTAAAGTAGGAGATATAGATTTAATTCCTATAATTATTAGATAAGAATTTTATTATTTTCTGAACTTTTAAATAACATTAATAATAGACAAGTAAGGGACTTAATTAATAAAGATATTACCAGCTTAGAACCTTAGAATTTCTTTATATTATATTCTTAATATATAAATATAAGGTTTTATCTACCTTATAACATGATATGTATACTAAGAGATATAAGGCTTGGTTCTCCTCATATAATATGGCATAAGGACATGCCTTATGGAAAAAAGGTATGGTATTATATTCTAAACTATAGGGTAACATATATAATATAAAATTAAGGAATAGTAATTAATTGATCATTAGGAAGTTTTTGCTTTATGGTTCAACTAGTTATCCCCAAACTAGTTTATGATAATATTATTCTCTTTTAAATAATCGAATCATTTAATAAAATATTTAATTTAATTATCAGTAATTTTAAAATCCTGAATAACCTTAATATTATATTCTTTTAGATCTTCTTTTAATTCAATACTTCCCTTAAGTTTAATATTCTTAGACATTAATTTAAACATAATAATATGAAATATACTGGTTTTTAATTTTATATTTATTAATAATTATAGATAATAATTTATATTTGAAAAGACTTTTTTAATTAAGAAAGGTCTTAATTTCTTAAAATCCAATTTTTTATTTGATCTTTTAGTTTAAATTTATAATATTTTTAATGTTAAATATTATTTATCTCATAAGAAATAGACCTTATTTCCCTTACATAAAATTGATCTTTTAATTCTTTTCTTATTATAATATATTGCCATTTATTTCTATAAGAAATTGAAATGTTATTTAAATTTAGTTTATAATATTAAAGTTCTAATAGTAAATATTTCTATTTGAGGTGGTATTATTTTTAATTCTAAGGCAGCCTTATTTATTAATGATTTATATTCCATATTTATTTATTATTTATATAATATTTCCTGTAGTAACATCTTAGTGATATCATTTATTAAAATATTATATAAGAATATAGTAAATGATAAAAGTTCTATTCAATTATCCTATTTATAATTAACGTAATTTCATAAATATTACTTTAATATCTGATTTAGTTGCTTTATTTGGCTATTAGTTTAAGAGTAAGCCGTCATAAAAAACTTTTATTTGATCTTCAGCCGTTTTATTAGGCTAACCTAAAATTTCGAAATAAAGAGTTTATCTCTATCTGAAATAATCCTTCTTAATAACCCATATTTATTAAAGACCTTTTCAATAAATTTAAAAGCCAAATCTTCAGCTATATAAGTCTTTTTAAATGACATAAAATACCCATACTTTATAAATTTATCAATGATAATCTATATGTTATCATATTTTTCCTTAGTTATTAGATATTATAATTTGGATAATTTGATAATAAAATCTTATATAATAATATTTCATGGTTTATTTGAAATCTATATGGTTTATGTTTGGCTCTTTTAATTTTATTATAGATGTTATAGTTTAAGATGACCTTCTTGACTATTCCTTTAATTCCTAAGAAGTCATATATTTCCTATAGTTATATAATAATTTTAAAAATTCTTAGATATCTATGTAGAAGATATTTATATATTTCTTATATAAATTTTTCTTATAATATTAATGGTATATAGATTTTCCTATTGTATGATATTGTATTTTTAATGATGAAATCCTATAT